GGCAGGTGTGGGCGTCGTCGGGGTCTGTGGGCCGGTGGCGGCGGGGGCTGTGGGCGCTGGCCTTGGCGGGCGCGCTGGGGCTGCTGGCGCTGGCGGGGGCGGAGCGGCTGGCCTTCTTCGCGGGCTCCCCGCACGTCAGCACGGTGGACGAGGTGGCGGCGGCCGAGCTGCGCTTCCCGGCCGTCACCCTCTGCAACCTGAACGCCCTCCGCCTCTCGCGCCTGACGCGCAACGACCTCTTCCACGCCGGCCGCCTCCTGGCCCTCCTCGACGCCCGGCGCCACCTCCGCGGCCCCGCCGACCCGCGCGCCCCGGCCGCCCTGCGCCACAAGGCCGACTTCAGGGGCTTCCGCGCCCGCCCCTTCCACATGGCCGACCTCTACGACCGCGCCGGCCACGACCTCGACGACATGCTCTGGCGCTGCGCCTTCCGCGGCGCCCCCTGCAGCGCCCGCAACTTCACCCTGGTGAGTCAGGCAGGCAGGGAGGGAGTGGGACCGAAGGAACGCCCCGCCAGCAACAGCTGGCTGGCTGGAGAGCTGGCGTGGAGGCCTCGGGCCAAAGAGGGGGCGAGGATGGGGCGTCTTCCTCACCCTGTCCAGTTCAAGTGCCTCTGGTGCCCAAGAGCCCTGGAACCCTCCTCCTCTTCCTCCTCCTCCTCCTCCTCCTCCTCCTCCACGGGTGGCTCTTCAGAAACTGGCCTGGGGGGAGGGCCTGGGGGGACTGAGCTGTGCCTGCGTAAGGCTGGACCCAGAGGCGCCCTAGCCTGGTAGCATTCCCTCTCTGAGGCCCTTCCTTGCCATCTGCCCCCCTTGCCCCCTTGCCCCCTGGGGCGGGACAACAGTGGGAGGGGCTTCTAGTGTCCTCCTGGCCCCACTGCTGGACCTCCTGAGTGCCCCTGGCATTTTTGACCACTGTGTGACACAGAGAGTGTTGGACTGGATCCAACACTGGCCTGATCCAACACTGGCTTCCCTTATGTTCTCTTATGCCCCCCCCAGCCCTAACCCTGCTGTTCCAGGCCAGCATGCCCCGCTCACAGCTGCATGCCCCGCTCACACCCCTGCACATTTCGGGGCAGAGGGTTGGCTGCGTGCATGGCTGGGATGAGGCCAGATCAGCCCAGTGGGGAGAGGGTTCTATTCTGCAGGGCGACCCAGAGGCCTGCGTCTGCAGGGGAAGGAGCTGAGGTCCCTGAGTCAGTCAGTCACAACCGGCAGCTTCCTCCTGGGGTCTCTGTCTTCCCTCCCTTTGGTCTTGGCTTGGCGTTCTTCTTGCCCCGTGCTTGCGGCTGGCACCGTGGCTCAGCCCATACCAGGCCCAGAGACTCCCTGCTCCGCCCCCACCAGGAAATCCGGACCAGGGGCAGCTGAAGGAGGGTTTTCCGGGGGGGGGGGCTGTTTCAGATGGGGACGGGCCATGGAGTCCCATTGTGGACGCTAGCAAGGCTTTGTCACGAAGGAGGGGTGTTTACTGCCTTCAAAGGAAGGAACGTTTTGTAAACCTATAAGAAAATGACCTCTTTCGTCTGCCAGAAGGACATTAATAGCACTTTATTAGAATATGCCACCCTCGCAACACGTCACACTGGCCTTTTGGGGTCACGATGCCTCCTTCCTATCCTGTCTGTATTTCAGCAATCAGCACATGAGGAACATTTCCTTGAAAACAGGCACAAGGGGACAGCCTGACCCTGCGTGGACTTGTGTGTGTGTGTGTGGGGGGGGGTGTCCGGGCAGGGGGCTGCCCAGGTGCAGAAGGACAGGGTGGGGCCTTCACGCCAGGAGCCACCGGCGGGCACTGCAAGATGATCCCCCCCCCGGTGAGCAGCAGCGACTGTCACTCCCTTGGCACACCTGGCAGCAGTGCCAGGGCTAGGAGCCCCCCGCCCCTGAGGGGAAGGCAGGCCTGCGGAGCACCTACTGCTGGAGCAGAGGAAAGAGGGCTTGGGCGGGGCTGGAGAGTACGGGTGTGTGTGTGTTCTGTCCCCTTGCCAAGTGACCATCAACTCCTGGTGTCTGGTGTAGTGGTTAAGTGTGCCGGTGTGGTATGGTGGTCAAGAACCAGGTTCGATTCCCCACTCCTCCACCTGCAGCTGCTGGATGACCCTGGGCAAGCCAGAGTTCTGTCAGAGTTCTGTCAGAGCTGTTCTC